AACACCCACGAAAAAACTTCACGCCCTGACTAACTCCCACTTAAACAACTTACACAACCAGTCTCAGCATCCACTTAACTTACACAACCTTCCTCAACACCCACTGAACTTACACGACCTACCTCAGCACCCACTTCCACAACCTACCTCAGCACCCACTTCCACAACCTACCTCAGCACCCACTTAACTTACACAACCTTCCTTAGCACCCACTTAACTTACATAACCTACTTCAACACCCACTTAACTTCCACGACCAACCTCAGCACCCACTTAACCCTTTCAGGGTCCGTGCTGTAGATCTACGGCTATACATTGAGGGCCCAACCTGTAGATCTATGCCATGAGCTCAGCTCACTCTGCTAATTTGTGAGTGGTAAATTTGGGTCTAGATATGAGAGAATACATTTAAATGGTATGTGTGCACCACATAAAACAAATCCTGCAGCACACAATGCATAATGAGAGAAAAAAACTGAGACTAATTTTCGATTAAAACATCGACTTTGCAGTGCTATTTTGTATGTTTTTATAGTTGTATTTGCAATTTCTTGGTCTCATTTGATAGAATGGAAGATATATTACAGAAATAGAGATGATTTTGAGCTCAAAATAGCAGAAATGTTCAATTTTTGCCGATGTTCAAGAGTAAACAAATGATCTCACACGTCTAATACACGCCAGCTGGTGGGTCAAATATACGTTCACAAATGTGGTGATATGATTTATACAATTATTACAATATTGCATGACAGTAAATCTTCTATTTTTTGGTTTGAATAAAAATTCATTATGTGAATAAAAAAATCAAAATGGAATTAATTTGTAAAGCCTGAAAATGTAACTAATGAACGGAGGAAATGTTAGTTTAGTGCCAGGAATGCCTGCATTGTTTATTCTGGACCCTATTTTGAAATTAGAATATTTTGAACTTTGCATTAAATTGGCCAAATTACCAATTTCGGATCACTTTATTTTGTAGTTGAAACAGTAGACTTGGCGATTTCTTGTGCTCAATCGATAGAATAGAAGTAATACTAATGAAATAGCCAAGAATTTGGCCGACTGGAATAATGTAATTGGCCTAAAATGGGAGTCAAAGTCGGCAAAATCGCTGATGCATAAATATCATTGACACATCAAAATTCACCAGAGCATAATTTCGTCAATTTTCCATCAAATTTCATACTTTTTGTTTTATTACCTTCAGAAAAAGATTCTCTACCATTTCATAAGAAAAATAACAAAATTACAGTGGACCCCCGGTTCACGTTATTAATCCGTTCCTGAGAGCTCATCGTAAAGCAAAATTATCGGAAAGCGAATCAATTTTCCCCATAAGAAATAATGGAAATCAAATTAATCCGTGCAAGACACCCAAAAGTATGAAAAAAAAAAACTTTTATCACATGAAATATTAAGTTCAATGCAATAGAATAATTACAGTAACAATAATAACAATAGAATAATCACAATAGAATAATTGACACTTACCTTTAATGAAGATCTGGTGATGATTGATGGAATGGGAGGAGGGGAGAGTGTCGAAGTTGTTAACGTTTAGAAGGGGAATCCCCTTCCATTAGGACTTGAGGTATCAAATCTTTTTCCGGGGTTACTTCCCTTCTTCTTTTAATGCCACTAGGACCAGCTTGAGAGTCACTGGACTTCTGTCGCACAACATATCTCTCCATAGAGGCCTGTACCTCTTGTTCCTTTATGACTTTCCTAAAGTGGTTCACAACATTGTCAGTGTAATAGTCACCAGCACGGCTTGCAATAGCTGTGTTAGGGTGATTTTCATCGATAAAGGTTTGCAGTTCAACCCACTGTGCACACATTCCCTTAATTTTTGAAGTAGGCACAATGGATTCCACAACTGGCATAGGCTTCTCAGGGTTAGCCCCAAACCCTTCAAAATCTTTCTTAATTTCCATACTAATTCTCACCCTTTTTACCACAGGGTTGGCACTAAAAGCTTTCTTGGGGCCCATGGTGACTTATTTTGCAGAAACAAGCACCAAAAACAGTGATAATATGGATAATATGGAATGTACCGAATGTATTCTTAGATGCGCACACACTGGCTGGCTTGTAAACACTGGCGCACACGAGGCAGTTCAGGCCACACATGGACATGTCTCGTACGAATCGTATCGCATACCGGGTTTTGTAACGGGAACCGAGGCAAATTTTTTGCGATATAATGCTTTGGATACCGGATTTATTGGATACCGATGACTTCGCGAACCGGGGGTCCACTGTATTTTTTGAAAATTCTTGGATCCTTGTGCACACTTTGAAATTTGGCCTCTGGACCCTGAAAGGGTTAACTTACACGACCTACCTCAGCACCCACTTAACTTATACAATCTACCTCAGCACCCACTTAACTTACACAGCCTACTTCAGCACCCACTTAACTTACACAACCTTCCTCGCCACCCAATTAACTTACACGACCTACTCCCCACTTAACCACAACCAACCCCAGCCCCACAATCTACTTCAGCACCCACTTGCACAATCTACCTCAGCACCCACTTGCACAATCTACCTCAGCACCCACTTACACAATCTACCTCACCATCCACTTAACTTACACAACCTACCTCAGCACCCACTTACACAACCTTCCTCAGCACCCACACAACCTGCCTCATTTATTTTAAAACTTATTAAAGTTAAAGAGTTCACACATTACTGATACTTAATACATTATTTATTAAAATTTACAAAGAAAAAACATTGTACAAACCTCATTGTAAATATTTTATGACAATATTTTTTCTTTTAAATCTGTGTTAGCTACAAGAGTTTATATGAAAAGAATTTCCTATAAGTTATCCAATATTTTTTCAGCAAAGCCTTCGCTGTAGCCATCATAAATGTGAGACAATATAGAGAGAGTACAAAATGTGAACTACTGTAAGTATATTGTGTGAGGTACAATTGTTATGTGAAGTACAGTAAGTCTATTGTTATGTGAAGTACAGTAAGTCTATTGTTATGTGAAGTACAGTAAGTCTATTGTTATGTGAAGTACAGTAAGTCTACTGTTATGTGAAGTACAGTAAGTCTACTGTTATGTGAAGTACAGTAAGTCTACTGTTATGTGAAGTACAGTAAGTCTACTGTTATGTGAAGTACAGTAAGTCTACTGTTATGTGAAGTACAGTAAGTCTACTGTTATGTGAAGTACAGTAAGTCTACTGTTAAGTGAAGTACAATAAGTCTGTTGTTGTGTGAAGTACAGTAATGCATAACATAAAAAAATTGTTGATTTGTTAGTGTTAAAAACTTGAAATGAATCAAATAAATGCAACATGAAGGTAATGAAGAAACTCCATCAGTGTTCTGTGTGTGATAAAGTTTTTCCAACTAATTCTAAACTCTTGAGACATAGTGTTACTCATACAGGAGAGAAGCCATATCATTGTACAGTGTGTCTGAAAGACTTTGCTAGCCAGGACTCATTAAAACAACATCACAGAGTTCATACAGGAGATAAACCATTTCAGTGTTTACTGTGTCTGAAAGACTTTGCTACCAAAGCCTCACTAAATCAACATCAGGTAGTTCATACAGGAGAGAAACCATTTCAGTGTTTAGTGTGTTTGAAAGACTTTACTCTTAAATCCTCACTGAAACAACATCAGAGACTTCATACAGGAGAGAAACCATTTCAGTGTTCAGTGTGTCTGAAAGACTTTACCAGAAAATCCTTACTAAATATGCATGAGAGAATTCATTCAGGAGAGAAACCATTTCATTGTTCAGAATGTTTGAAAGACTTCACTAATAAATCTGCACTAAACAAACATCAGAGAACTCATACAGGAGAGAAACCATTTCAGTGTTTAGTGTGTCTGAAAGCCTTTGCTAGAAAATCCTTACTAAATATACATGAGAGAATTCATTCAGGAAAGAAACCATTTCATTGTTCAGTATGTTTGAAAGACTTCTTTGATAAATTCTCTCTAAAACAACATGAGAGAGTTCATACAGGAGAGAAACCATTTCAGTGTTTAGTGTGTCTGAAAGCCTTTGCTAGAAAATCCTTACTAAACAAACATGAGAAAGTTCATACAGGAGAGAAGGACTATCAGTGCTCAGTGTGTTCACAACAATTTTCAGTAAAATGTTCTCTAGTGAGACACATGAAGACTCATACAGAAGAAACAACACATGAGTGTCCAGAGTGTCAGAAAGTATTTTCAAGTGACTCTCTTTTAGTTAAGCACATGACACTTCATAAAGAACATAAACCATACAAGTGTTCAAGGTGTCTGGAAAATTTTTCCCATAAAACTAACTTAGTAAATCATATGATAACTCACATATGAGAGAGAATACATAGCAATGTGAATGTTTTAAAAACTTTTTCACAAAATCTCATCTTGTAAAACCTCAGGAAAGTGTTTTCATGTGTTTCCTAGTGGTCACCAGAGTGTATTGGGGTCATCTGACTCAGAGGTGCCACATGTGCTGCTACTTGCTATCTAATTTACAAGCATGAGTACATACCCAGTATGTCAGGAGCCAGGCATGATTGTCGGTCGACTGACATTTTAATTTTGAATGGCACCAGTTCTAGGAGTCCAGTATGGAAAATGGTGTGGAAATTGGCAGACAGGTACTTCAGGTACTCACATGAATCAGTTCCAGTCCTCAACATTGCTGGTTCACAATTACCAGATTAAGCTGATGTTGCGATTTCTAAAATATGTCATATTGTTTATATTTTCCTTGTGCACACCTGTCTCCTGCTTTACATCATTCTAAAGAAGTAAATTCCTCTTGAAATTTACTTCTTCATACTATACCTCTGTGTACCATCCTTGAACTTGTATTAGCATTGTTTAAGTGTCAGTCTATTACAGCTGGTCATGATGGTTTACATTTTCATAAATATGATTATAATGAATTACCCAAGCTGTACTGATAAAATTATATACAGTGAAACCTCTGCTTGTGAGTTTAATCCGTTCCATGACCTTGCTCGCAACTGGATTTGCTCGTTGCAGAGTCAATTTTCCTCATTTAAATTAATTGAAATGCAATTAATCCATTCCAATGGAATTCTGTACTTCAATAATTTTGCTAATATCAACTCATACTTATTTATTTATCTCAGTTCATCTAATATGACATAGTAAACAATATAAATAACATAGAAACCTGATATATACTCTAAAATGAATAAATATGTCATTCATGTAGTGGTATGGGTGGTGTCGGCGGTGGACGAGAGTTTGTCTGGAGACCAGGCAAAATACTTCATGAATAATTTCGCTAATATCATCTATACTTCTTATTTATAAATCACAGTTCATCTAATATGACATAGCAAACAATATAAATAACATAGAAACATGATATATACTCTAGAATGAATAAAATATGTCATTATGTAACAGGTGAAGGCGGCCACAACCGCTCTCTCTTTGTTGTGGTAAACACTGCCATTTAGCGATGGCCTTTTGAAGCTGTCTATATTAATTATTATATGTATGTATTACTATTATACATATATTATTACTATTACTATTATTATTATATGTTTTATTATTATACATATTATTATTATTATTATTATTATTATTATTATTATTATTATTATTATTATTATTACTATTATTATTGTTATTATATAAATTGTAATTTTTATTCACAAAAAATATAAGATTTACTGTTATTCCTTATTGCAATAATTGTATAAATAATGTCAACCCATTCACAACTGCATATTGGAATGAAACAGCCACACAATGGACCATTTCTCCTAGGTTGAGCTCAATTTCAAGGCACTTTTTGTCATGAAAGTAATCAAAATCATATCTATTTCTGTAATATATCTTCCATTCTATCAAATGAGACCAAGAAAATGAGAAAACAACCATAAAAACCATTCGAAATTACCGCTAAGGGGTGGCTAATTTATGCTTAGATTTCTTTCATTTTTGGTGTACGTTAAGAAGCATCTTCCCATCATACATTGCCCAAGTTTCAATAAGATAGTCCAACAAACAAATGAGATACAATTTCCAGTGTCAAGGAACCTGCCTTGAGGTCTGCTCGCTTGTGGAAATTTTGCTCGTGTATGGAAGCAAAAAATCGACCCATCGACTGCTCGTATTTGGAAAAACTCGCATGTGGACATGCTCACAAGTAGAGGTTCCACTGTACTAGATCTACATATAAGTAGTATGTAAGACTTATGATTAGTTCACTTGAAACATTTTTACATAATTAGTGATTTTCTTCCAAGTCCTATATTGTACCAGATCTCTACATTATAATAACTGTATAATAACTTATAATAACCAATTTGCATAACTCATAAGATGAAATAAAATTTTTTTTTATTTTTCCTCTTCACTTATGTTTGATCTGCTGGAGTGTTATCCCTGAAATAGAAGTCTGCTGTGGTCCTTACTTTGTGACAACCAGATGTGTTAAGCTACAGTCCCTCCCACTATTGACACAGCTATTACTAGTTCAATTGTGAAGAAATGGAACGTGTGGTTAATAGGAGACTAGTGTGATATGTCCTCTTCAAGGGGGGCTCCTTGGCGTGGTGAAGAGGCTCTTGGTCTGAGGAATTAGCCCTGTCGGTCTTCTTCCTCAGACCGAACCTAATTACCCCCCATTCTCCCCTCCCCTATCCCATCCTCCCCATCCTCCCCTTTTTCCATTCCTCCTCCTCCTCCTCACCCCTCCCTTTTGCCCTTCCTCTTTTTAGCCTTCGTGATTTCTCCCACAGGGGCGCTAGTTCCTAGGTAGGGAAAAGGACACCGGGTCCATCCCATTCCGTTGAGGTTTCTTGGCGGTGGCGTAGTTTGCCGTGGAATCTGGGTTGCCTAGGGATGTCCCGATCCCTCTCCGGTATCCCGGGGTAGCTTTGGGTGTCTTTTTGGCGACGGGTGTATCTCTGGAAGCCACCTTTCGGATTCCGGGGGTGGTGGCTGAAGGAGGTATGCTTTGTGGCGGATATCCGGCCGCCCCTCTCTTTTGTCCACCGAGGTAGCTCGGCAATGTGAGGTTGCTATCCCAGATTGCTGGTTTTTCTGGCATGAAGGTAGGGTATGGCACGGGTTCCCTGCTGCATCTGCGCTACTTGCGGTGTCGAGTCCTCTTGGGGGCAGAGGGAGATTTCTTGGCCCTTCTTCCTCCTAGGAACTATCCCTCCCCGTCCCCCCTTTTTTTTTCTTTTTTTTTATTTTTATTTTCTTTTCTTCTTTCTTTTTTTTCTTAAAAACAAAAGAAAGAAGTAACCTAACCATGGCAGCCCTAGGGCCCTGAACTGGGTACCCCCGGCCCCTTCTTGATACCGCACCCCGTTTTGACCCCGCCTTTGTCTTTGGACCACTCTTCAGACATTCCTCATGCCTCTGTACCTATTGCCGGTGCTGTTTCCTCACCCACTTCAGGGACTGAGGCCTCGACTGACTCCTTCGTTTATCAGACCTTCGCTCTCCTCTGACTATGCTTCCGGCCTCTCCCTCTAAAGGTGCGGCAATTTTCAAATCGCCGACCCGTTCCACTCGGACCAACTCTCGTCCCACGCCTAAAACGTCAACGACAATTACCTGCTGATGATACTTCTCCACCCCACCTTCTCGTTCTTTCTCAGAAACGATCGACACGTCCTTCACTACCTTTCCACGCTCAGTTTCAGACTGAACAGTGGACTAAATTCTTCACTTTACGACCAAATTCCTCTACTGCCTATCTTTCTGACCATAGTATTGGCAAGGCACTCCTACGCCATGTTGGTAAAGATATTTCTTTTCATGCTCTTAAGGCTACGCGCATCATTACCATACAGAATGCTACCCAGGCTCGTGAGCTCTCTCGTCTTTCCCATATAGACTACTGTTCCGGTCACCCTTGAAACATCATTCCCTCAATTCCTTGATGGTACCAGTTATTCTGGCCCCCCAATTTTTACCAGTAGTCAACAAAATTTCCAGACATGGGTCCCCCGACATTCTAGAACAGCTGATCTCCAAGATCTCCCAACCTCAAGGTAGACCTTACTTCTTCCCTTCCCGGAGGGGCGGAGACTATACCCTACAATGTGGCTCGTTTAACTTTTGAACAGCCGAGAACTCCCATCCTCCGTTTATATAGCGAGACAATCGGTTACAATTCGAAAGGTGTCCCTACATCCACAACCGTGAGAAATTGCTGGCGATTTGGCCATCCCATCGAAGATATTGCAGATCTATCGCACGAATCCCAGTCGTGGTGCCAATGACCATTCTAATACGCCTTCATCGATCTCCCTCTTGCTTAACTGTCATGAGGCTCACCCTTCGTACTCTCGCCGTTGTCATGTCTATTTAAACGACAGGAAATCCTACCGCAAAGATCAGAAGTCTCCCTATGGCCATGCAGTTTCTCATCTCCGCCTCCAAGGGAGACTCCCACGTGGTCGTATTCCCGTGTTTCAAAACTCCCCCCACTTCTGGTATCCCATCTTCTACACCCACCTCTGTGGTACCTCTCCCATATCACTCTGTATCTAATTCCTTTTGCTGTCCCTCAGGATCAGACGTCCCTACTTCTACGCCTCAGTCTAATCTCGCTGCTTCGAGTTCTCTCTTACAAGCCTCAGTATCGACGAACCCCCTCGTACGACTCCTCTCCCAATTCGTCCCCTACTTCTCAAGTCAAAAAAAGGTCCGGTAACACCTCCTAACCCACTCCACCTCCCTCATTTTACCCTGGCTCCTGTCCTCTGTCCCTAAGTCTCCCCACTCACTGCTCAGTTACAAGTGCAGAGGTGTTCGACCCTCCTCCTCGTAATGTACCTTCCTCCCCTGTTCCCTCCCCAAGTTCTTCCTCTTCTGCCACCTCCCATTTCCTGTCTCTTCTGTCCACTGCCACCTTCTCCTCAGTTCCCTCCATCCCTTTCGTTCGCGCCCCCCCCCTACCTTGTAAAGTCCAATACAGTTCCAATCTTTACTCATCCTCCCCCTACCATTCCCAATATTGTCTCCACATACGACATCTCTGAATTCCCGAAAAACACTTGAAGCAATCCTCTGATATATTGCAGATGACCAAACCCAATGGACACTGATCCACCTTCCGCTCTTACTCTCTCCTCTGCTCCTTCTGCGCGCAACCTCCTTTCTTCACAGCGCACCGTTCCTTCGCTGCTTAACATTTCCACTGCCCCTCCGCATTGGACTTTTCTACCCTTCTAGTCCGTAGAACCCTTGAACCTGCGATTTCAAGTATCTTTATCATTGCCAATATGGGCCTTTTTACAGTGGAATAACGCGGCCTCAAGAGGTATTCGTGAGCTTCAGATGTTACTCCTCCAGGTTGCCCCTGTTGTGTTTGCTTACAGGAAACCAAAATTACACTCTGCTTTTATTCTCACATCTCACATAATTTATAGTATTCTTCAGATCCTTTGCCTGAAATGGGACCTTTAATGAAAGGTGCCCTGCTTCCCCGCACTGATATTCCGTACCATCAGCCTATTTATTTCTTACCTTCGCTGCATACACACAGCCCGTACCACTTACATAGTTGTCTACGCTCTGATTGCTTTTATATCTCTCTCCGTCTCGGCATTATCTATTCCCCCCAGATTTGCCTTCTTGTTTTTCATTATACCGCCACCCGTCCTGTTACGTGGGGATTTTAAGGCCAACCATTTCCTCCTGGGGAGGTCCACTGTGATTCTCCCGTGGAATTCATTAGAGGCTTTTCTGCCACGCGCCCCCCCCCCCCCATTTTTAAATACAGGTACTCCTCACGACCCATCTTTTGATGCCTCGACTCATACTCTCTCTTCAATCGATCTTCACAGATGCTCTTCCTCCTCCGCATTAGACTTACTTGGTCTGTTTCTCCTCCCGGACTACATGACAGTGAATCATTCCTCAATCATTCTTACTTCCCCGTCATATTCGCCACCTCTTCGACCCCACGCTGCAATTTAAAATCGGGCAAATTGGAACCGTTAACTCACACCTGACTGTTTTTAAAGAGGTTCCTTCTTCGTCCTCCATCGATGAGCTTTTACACCTCTTCTCGACCTCCGTATTTCACCACCGCAGCTTCTCATTCTATTCCCCAAACTTGCAGGCATTCTCAAAATGCGTGCCTTGGTGGTCTCCTGCTTTGCTCGGCAGTAACTTTTGAAACGCGCCTGCATGGGGCAGGTACCGTCAATAGAACCATCAGAGCGACCCTTTGATTTTAAACAGAAGACGTGCGATCGCGTCGCCGTGTCCATCCGTGACGCTAAAAAACGCACTAGCTGGTCGAATTATGTCACACACACCTCTGCTTCCTCTATGAGTGCAGTCTGAAAAAAGAACGAAAACTGAGTGGTAATATTCTCCTGACCCGCTCCTGTTCTGCTGCCGGTTGCCGGTGTTGATATAGCAATCCCACTAGATGTTGCCAATAAATTGGCAATCATCTGTCCGTATTTCTCAGGACCTCCAGCTAAGCCCCTCATTTCTTTTCCTCAAAGTCTGCCAGAGATTAGCACGCCACCCTTGGACATTTTTTCTCTTCTCTCAGAGAAGAAAAAAACAGTAGAATGTGCCGTTTACACTTCAAGAACTGAGCAACACTCCAGCTTGTCGATCATCGGCAGCTGGGGCCCGACGACATTCATAGTCGTAGCTACAACATTTACATCAGTCAGAGCCCTTGCAGTGCCTATTACGCCTGACAATCTATTTGGTCCACAAGGAGTTCTCCACACTGGGGAAATCCGCCAGTGTTCGCCCTTTCCGCAAACCAGGCACTACTGACATGAACCTCCCACTATCGTCCCATTGCTCTTACCAGTGCAGTTTGGCAAAGTAATGGAACGTCTTAGTAAAGATACCGTTTAGTGTGTTATTTAGAGACACACAACAGTCTCTCCACTCGTCAAATATGATTCCGAAGGGACGTTCTACATCAGGACCCCCTTACTGCGCTTGGATACGTATGTTCGTAATGCCTTTGCAATAACCACTCAGGTTATTGCCATATTTTTATTGACCTTGAGAAGCATATGACACAACTTGGAGGGATAATATATTAGCCCAAGCCCACTCCTAAGGCCTATCGGGCAATCACCATCCTTCCTTAAGATCTTTTACTGACAGGCGATTTCCTGTTCAGGCTTAATAATGTGCTCTCCCCGGACTTTTGTCCAAGCTGAAAAGGGTCCACCCAGGGATGTGTTCTGAGCACAACACTTTTTCTACTGCTATTAATGAAATTTTGGCCTCGAGACTTTCCATCATATTATATTTGGTCATCACTCTATGTTGAGGACTTCGATTTTGCCTGTGCAGGCGCTGACCTGTCACCTCCTTAACTTTTTCCTCTCAAGATGCAGTTTGACCGT